TAGATTTTAGAAAATAATTAAAAAAAAAAGAGCCAGACATCCCCTTCATGGCTGTACAACATGAATAGGCAGCTCCAGATCCTATGTTCTATCCCAACCCCAACCGCTGGTGTCACCTACCAACACGCTCGCCTTCTGGCAATGCAAGAGCTGCAGCAGAGATGGAAAGAGGTCCGGGCTGAGCAGAGCAGAACACAACGCCGGGTCGTCAGCTGGGAAAAGCAGGACACAAAGGAGTCAGGGGTTGCTACTGGCATCTTCTGCTTCACTAAGAATAGACTGCAGGAAGGGCTCCCAGGAAGAGTCAGGTACACAGGAAATGCAGAATGATGACAGCAAGTAGCCGAATTAGGCTTGGAAGACTTCTTTGTTTGGCCCTGGACTACTCAGTCTGGCCTGTCTCACCCCACGGTGCATAAACATGGTATATGTAGCAAGACAACTACGGTTTCGCTGAAAAGATCTTCCTGTAAGATACAATCTCTCTGAAGCGGCTAGAAGGCTCTGACGGCCAGCTTATGTTAATATTGTCGTCAGTTCCCTGTGACTAAGGCGCTCTACCTGCTCTTGGAACACCCAGGAGACTCAACTGGCTTTTTGTAAGAGTCTGATAGATGTAAGAGAGCAGAACCAGGCCCGTACCTACAGTGTGTCAGGATCCACAGGAAAAACAACGAAGTACACGCTTCCAAGAAGGTTTTACTGTTATTGAAAAGCTATAGATGCAGTAACATGAACACTGTTAGGAATGGCGGGTTACCTATGCACATAATAGGATATAGGGCATTCGTATGCACCCCCCCCACACTGAGTACCCAATTAGATGGGCTCCCGCGCGTGGGCATTAGCCTGAGAACTAACGGCTGCAGAAGCTGGGAAGGTAAGAAGCTTCCCACGGATTCTAGACACACCAACTCCTCCAGTGGCCTTGAGAGATATGCGTTACAGGCGGCCCAGGGCTCTACTGGTAGCAGGAGCTCCTTTGCATATTAGGCCACACACCCCTAGTGTAGCCAATCCTCCAAGAGCTTACAGAGCTCTTCTTACTGGGGCTACTGTAAGCTCTTAGAGGATTGGCTACACTAGGGGTGTGTGGCCTAATATGCAAAGGAGCTCCTGCTACCAGTAGAGCCCTGGTTTACAGCTAAGATGCAATTAAGCGCATGGGAAGGAATGCAGAGCAATTAGAAACATACATCACACTCATGGCAGCATAGCTGACGCAGTGGGGCATCTTGGGGCTAGGCCCCCCTGACTTACTGGCAAGGCCTCACAACTTCCCATCCAGCCCAGGGCCCCTGAGCAGCAGCAGGTGCGGGGAAGGAGTATCAGTTAGCCAGTGCCCCCAAAGAAATTTAAGTGCCCCCCAACTTTAAAAAATCCTAGCTACAGGCCTGAGCAGAACTATTAGCTCAGGTCAGGAGAGCTGTCTAAAAAGCCCACAGTCGGGCTGTTGGACTCTCGGCAATGCTAGCCGTTGTGCTTCTTCTCTTACCGGGAGTGAGCCTTGACACAGCGAGGGAAAGGGACGTACCTGTGAGGTTATTCAGCAGCCACAAACACTCCTGCACAATGAAGAGGTGCCTGGGGAGGAAGCTCCGGATGAAGACAAAGACGGCCCTCAGGAGGCACTCTGCCTGCGCCTGGAGCTCACCGCTGCACGGCTCGTCTTCGGCAAGGAGGTTGCTAACGCACCGCACCACAGGACAGACCAGCTGGAAGCAGAGGGGAAGAAGGGGTCTTCAGGAGAAGCTGGGCCACGGGCCGGGCACTCAGCAAGAGACCCCCCGTTTACTTTACCAGTTCCAGGCCCTCGGCAGGTGTCGTCGTCGTCATTGTGGAAGCCAGGGCTACCAATAGCTGCCCTAGAGTTGGCAGGGTCCTTTGGGAGACCAGCAGGGAGTTGTTCACTCGGCTGAGGGAAGACGAAAAGTAGGTTTTTATCAGGGTTCCCTCTAAGCTGAGTTAGTGTGAGCCAGCTCACAGTTTTTTAGCCTCCAGCTCACACATTTTTGTCTTAGCTCAGGAAAGATGGGGCTCCAGAGCAAACTGATTCATGCAGCTGCTCGCTCACAATTTAAATACCGGCAGCTCACAAAGTAGAATTTTTGCTCACAGGACTCCGCAGCTTAGAGGGAGCATTGGTTTTTATACCTCATTTTTCTCCATGTTAAGGAGTCTCAAAGCAGTTTGCAGTCACATTCCTTTGCCCTCCCCACAACAGGCACCTTGTGAGGTAGGCGGGGCTGAGAGAGCTCTGACAGAACTGGGACTGGCCCAAGGTCACCCAGCAGGCTCCCGGTGGGGGAGGAGTGGGGAATCAAACCCTGTTCTCCAGAATTAGGTCTAGGAACGTGTGCTGTTAAAAGCTTGAGTCATCCACGGACCGAAGCTGGGAGCAATCAGAAGCGGGTCTACTCACCAGTATGCCCCATTTTATTAAATGCAACTAATTTACTTCATTTGTACTCCACATTTCTCCCCAATAGGGACCCAAAGTGGCTTACGCCATTCTCCTCTCCTCCATTTTATCCTCACAAAAACCCTGGGAGGTAAGTTAGGCTGAGTGTGTGTGACTGGCCCAAGGTCACCCAGTAAGCTTCCGTGGCAAAGTGGGGATTCGAACCTGGGTCTCCCCGACCCTAAACTTATACTCTAGCTATGGTACCACACTGGCTCTCAGGAAAGTTTTAGTGCTTAGGATTGCAGCCTTTGTCTACTATCTAGCCCACCTCCTGTTCTTACCAGTGTTCCCTCTAAGCTGAGTTAGTGTGAGCTAGCTCACAGTTTCTTAGCCTCCGGCTGACACATTTTTGTCTTAGCTCAGGAAGGGTGGCTCCGGAACAAACTAATTTATGCAGTAGCCAAATCGCCTGCTCACAACTTTAATGTCAGTAGCTCACAAAGTAGAATTTTTGCTCACAGGACTCTGCAGCTTAGAGGGAACATTGGTTCTTACCCAGTCTTACACGAAGGGGTTGGACTAAGTATTCTATCAATCCCTTCTCTGTAAAATAAAAGATTTGACTCACGTGGCAGAAATCATGTTAGGATACAGACAACTCTACAGAAAGACTTTCATGCAAGTATCCATTTTTGAGCTTACAGTGGGTACCATTTAACTTCAATATTCAGCATTTACACCATGCTTCTCCAAAGAGCACAATTAATTCGACAGGCACCAAGAGAGTTGGCCCTATCAAATTTGTGACCAGAGATGAGGCTTTGCATGGGATTGACTACATCAGCGTGTCACTCTTAGGAGGCTGGCTCAGATCCAATTCCATTCACCACAAATATCTGGACATTGGGGATTTCCCCTTATCTGCAGCAGAAACGCTGGGTAGGGGTCAAAACTCCTCCAACATCTAGTTACTACAAGAAGCTCTACACATGCTCTGAGGAACCTGTTACAGCCTAGGTAACGTATACTTAGATGAGCAGATCAACTGTATTGCTGTTTATGTGAAAGTCTGCAGGCTGTGTTATTGCATGCCTGTGTTATTGCATGCCTGAGAGCCAGTTTGGTGTAGTGGTTAAGTGCGCGGACTCTAATCTGGGAGAACCCGGTTTGAGTCCCCACTCCTCCACTTGCACCTGGCTGGATGGCCTTGGGCAAGCCGTAGCTCTGATAAGGAGCTGTTCTTGAAAAAGAGCAGTTTCTGTCAAGAGCTCTCTCAGCCCCACCCACCTCACAGAGTGTCTGTTGTGGGGAGGGGAAGGGAAAGGAGTTTGTAAGCCGCTCTGAGACACCTTTCGGTAGTGAAGGGCGGGGTATAAATCCAATCTCTTCCTCTTCTTCTTCTTCTTTCCCGTTTTGGTTTTTTGCCCATTTTTAAAATTATTATTATTATTTTATTCAATTTATACCCCGCCCTCCCCACAATGCAGGCTCAGGGCGGCTTACATGGAGGGAAACGCCAATACAAAACATATATAAAACCATTTAAAATCACAAATATACAAAAACATTTTTAACAAATTACAGACTAAAGTGCTCTAGGTGTTCAACGTGATATTTCATAGATGGCGTGTTTCAACTATTCAGTATCATCTGCTCCAGGGCCAGGTAAAGATGGTAGTGGCGGCTCCTAATCATACGCCTGGTGGAAGAGCTCCATCTTACAGGCCCTGTGGAACTGCACAAGGTCCCCAGGGCCCAGATCTCCTCCGGGAGCTCGTTCCACCAGGTAGGAGCCGCCACCAAGAAAGCCCTGGCCCTGGTAGCGGCCAGCCTGGCCTCTTTGGGGCCTGGGATGACCAGATGTTGGGTCCCGGACTGAAGTGCTCGCGGGGGAACATATGGGGAAAGGCGGTCCCTTAGGTAAGCTGGACCCAGACCATTTTCCACCCCTTTTATGAATCTAACCACCCTTTCCCCCTTTTTTCCTTTCTTTTATAATAAACCTTTTAATAAAGCCATTTTTGGCTTCATTTAGTATAATCTGTTTCTCTTCCCTACATGCTAGACCACACAGGGCTACATAGTTTGTTATACAGTATCTTCCAAGGTTTCCACCTGGTTACTTTGTTCTTGTTCTAGTATTGTACTATAAGGAAACCACCTCAGTGTCCCGATCCCCACAGCTGTCAATCGAATACACATTTGTAGCAAAGTATTATTTTATTGAAGCCATGATGAAGCAGGAACAAGTTCACTGTTTGGAATAACTACAACGGTCGGGGCAAAGAATAATAGAGCAGATTCATACTGTCAATAACCAATGGACATGGTTCCCGCTCGCGCGGGTGGACTCCCATATTCGCGCCCATAGCCTGAGAATCAACGGTTCCTAAAAGATAAACAATCTCTTCTCACACTCTAATTCATTATAGACTAAGCGAACCCGACTCTTCCCCGCACCTGTGACCTTGCTGATGACCATAGTTCAAAGCAGCACTAGTGTTCATAGAAAGGAATGCATGAGACAAGCAAACGTGCGATTCATTATGCCAGCAAGCATGTACAGTTGGGTATCACTAAGGAACATGAGGGGGGGGGAACCCTAAACAGGGAAGGTTGTACACCACACAGAGTTCTTTGGCAGCTTGCTGACACTCAGGTTAGTCTAGATGTTCTCAGGAAGTCCCCGAGTGGCAGCAGCTGGTTACCAAGGTGCTTCACAGGGAACATTTGGTCTAAGGGCATTTCCCAGGAAAGAAAGGCATCTTCCCCACTTCCTTCCATAATACTGACCATCAACAGATTTTTCTCACTGAATTAATTCTCACCCATGCTCTTGCCATCAGCATCCTTACCCTCATCATGCACTAGAAGAAGAGATTGGATTTATACCCTGCCCTTCACTCAAGAGTTTCAGAGCAGCTTACAATCTCCTTCCCTTCCCCTCCGCACAACAGACACCCTGTGAGGTAGGTGGAGCTGAAGGAGCTCTGAGAGAACAGCTCTGAGTGAGCTGTGACTGACCAAAGGTCACCCAGCTGGCTGCAATGTGGAGGAGTGGAGAATCAAACCCGGTTCTCCAGATTAGAGTCCGCTGCTCTTAAACACTACACCAAATTCATAAAGGAAACAGCTCAGGCAATCCCCTCACCCACAAGCCCCCCGCACCACACCCCTGACTGTAAATTATGCTCTACCGAAGCATCCTTACCTGCAAATAATGTAGTGCAGACACCATGCAAATTCCACAGCAACTCCCATTCCCTGTTCCAGGTCAGAGCAAACCAAGCGAAGCATGTGCTGGGAGAGGCCAGAACCTAGGACCAAGCTGGAGGTGGGGGTGGGAGGGGGGGAGAGAGACAAAATAAGCTTCTGTGCAGTGACTGAGAGAATTAAGCAGGCAGGTGGCAAACAGCAGGCTTGGGCAGTGCAAGAGAGAGAGACAGAGTAATACAGCCGTTCTGCCCAATGAGAAGGGCTCTGACTAGAGACGTGAAGGCCCGGAAAAAAACCGGAAAAATTCGGGGGAGAAACGGGTTTTTTCCATTTTTTCCCTGAAGCCTTTTTTGTTTTTTTTCCGAAAAATAGATTATGGAACGTTTTATTTTAACATGATGAATAAAATATTTTAAGACAAGGTGTTCAAATATTTTCCAAATCATTTCTAATATATATGGTACCAGATTGATCTAATGTCTTTGCACTGAGGACAAGCAAGTCCTAGTTTACAAACTGAACTCTCCAATGCAAGAACAAGATGCATTTCTTCCTTTAGGAGGTGCTATTGTCACAAGAAAAGAAAAAGGTTTCAGTTTTGTTTTTGCATGTGGGCAGGTATTCTGTTTGTAATAACTGTTTGGATACACTATATTTTTAATATGCTAGTTGTGATAATTTCATGCCAAGTAAAAATGTCCATAGTCATATTTTATGTTCCTAAAGTAACAGAATGACTTTCAATCTAGAAAAGACAAAGGAAGTGCTAATGTAACATTTTTTTCAATTTTTCCGAAAATTTCCGTTTTTTTCCGGAAAAAACTGGGAAAAAAACGGGGTTTTTTCCGAGCTTCAAAATTTTTGGAAATTTTACATTTCTAGCTCTGACACGGCAAGAGAAATCCCCAAGACCACGAACCCAATGCCTCTCATTATTGCAAAGAGGGAGCTGAGACCACCGTACGTTCTTCGAGGAAACAACTGCCTGCTGGAGCCGCCGGGTTCAGTTCCTCTCCGTGCTGCCAGCTCTCGAGATCAGCTCACGGAACAAGGAGTGTGCATGCGACAGAGACTCATAGCCCAATGAGCAGGTTCCTCCTAACGTCTCGGAGGATGGCAAGTTTGCTTCTCACATGCCCCACACATAAGCAGACATCCAGTTCCCAACTGGGTAAGATGGAAAGATTGTTCTGCTTACGGGATGATTTCCTCTGCGGCTTCTTTCGACTGCAAGAGCTGTGACAGCGCGTAGCCTGCGCCTTCCTGCACTGCCAGGTGAGGAGACTGTAATTAGAGGATACAACGTTCATCAGCCAATGACTCGGGCTCAGAGGCGCCACAGGCAACACGGAGGAGCGCAAGAAACAGAGCTCTGCAGTGGGTGCACTCCGGCTCCTTTCCACTCCATGTATCTCGTAAATGGGACAGTTGCCCAAGGCCACCAAAGAGCAAAAGTGTGGCAAAGGACCTTGTACAGAGGTTGCAAATCAGGGGAGAGCTCAGGAACCCTTCTGTATTTCTTCCCCCCCCCTCCCGCGCCTCCCAACCTCCCCGCACCCATGAGCTCGCCGGCACCCAAGGGTCATTTCCTGCAGGAGCGCACAGGAGCGGAGCTCCGGCAGTACAGAGCCCAGGGGGTGGGCACATGCAACAAGCCCCACCCCCTGCTCCCAGCAGCCCTCAGTCAGAGCAAGAAGTAGCCAGGTAAGTTGCAGAGCTCCCCCTGCCCCCCCCATCCAAAACAGTCCAGTGGCACCTTTAAGACCAAGTTTTATTCAGGTACAAGCTCTCCCTCCTCTGTGAGGACAGACCTCCCCTGCCCCCCCCCCCATCCAAAACAGTCCAGTGGCACCTTTAAGACCAAGTTTTATTCAGGTACAAGCTCTCCCTTCTCTGTGAGGACAGATCTGCACATCCCATCCCCACAATAGCTAGCAATCCAGAACAGTCCAGTGGAGCCTGAGCGGTGGGTGTTGCCTTCTGACACACTTCTGGTGATGTCAGGGGGTGTGGCATATGCAAATAAGTCATGCTAATGAGTTATGCTAATGAGCTCCTACACCTCTTTTTCTACGAAATGACCCCTGCCGGCACCCAAACACAAGAGAGCTGCTCTCTGCAGAGAACCCTCATCTTCCCCATGGGGACCAACAGAGCATCACTAGGAAATCTGCCTTGACTAGTTGCCATCTATTAGACTGGACTGAAACGCGATTTTAAATTTTATCTTTTCATCTTTATTTTCTTTAATTTGTTTTTTCCCCATTTAAACCCTAATGTTTCATTGTTGTTATGTTTTTGATTGAAATACTGTGACCCACCCTGAACCCACTTGCAGGGGAAGGTAAAATAAATCACATCAAATCAGATCATTTGGTTTGGGCTGAAGTTAAAAAGTTGTTGTTGCTCAGTCGCACAGTCGAGTCCAACTCTTTGCGACCCCACGGACCAGATCACGCCAGGCCCTCCTGTCTTCCGCTGTCCTCTGAAGTTGGCTCAATTTCATGTTCATTGCATCTATGACACTGTCTAACCATCTCATCCTTTGCCGTCCCGTCTTCTTTGACCTTCAATCTTTCCCAGCATCAGGGTCTTCTCCAGTGAGTGCTCCCTTCTCATTGGGTGGCCAAAGTATTTGAACTTCAGTTTCATTATCTGGCCTTCCAGGGAACAGTCAGGGTTGATTTCTTTTAGGATTGACTGATTTGATCTTCTCGCAGTCCAAGGGACTCTCAAGAGTCTTCTCCGGCACCACAGTTCAAAAGAATCTATTCTTCAGCGCTCGGCCTTCCTTATAGCCCAACTCTTGCAGCCATACATGACTACTGGGAAGCCCATTGCATTGACCATGCGGACTTTTGTTGGCAGGGTGATGTCTTTACTTTTTATCATGCTGTTTAGGTTCATCATCGCTTTCCTCCCAAGGAGCAGGCGTCTTTTAATTTCATGGCTGCTGTCACAGTCTGCGGTGATCTGGGATCCCAGGAACGTGAAGTCTGTCACTACCCCCACGACTTCCCCTTCTATTTGCCAAGGAGTGATGGGGCTGGATGCCATGATCTTAGTTTTAGCCTGCTTTTAAGGCAACCCCCCCCCCCAATGAGAAGGGAGCACTCACTGGAGAAGACCCCGATGCTGGGAAAGATTGAAGGTTAACAGAAGACGGGGACAGCAAAGGATGAGATGGTTAGACAGTGTTATCAATGCAACAAACATGAAATTAAGCAAACTCCAGAGGATGGTGGAAGACAGGAGGGCCTGGCGTGATGTGGTCCATGGGGTCGCGAAGAGATCGAATCAGTCAATCCTAAAAGAAATCAACACTGACTGTTCCCTGGAAGGCCAGATACTGAAGATGAAGCTCAAAGACTTTGGCCACCCAATGAGAAGGGAGCACTCACTGGAGAAGACCCTGATGCTGGGAAAGACTGAAGGTGAAAGAAGAAGGGGACAGCAAAGGATGAGATGGTTAGACAGTGTCATAGATGCAACGAACATGAAATTAAGCAAACTTCACAGCACGACGGAAGATAGGAGGGCCTGGCGTGATGTGATCAATGGGGTCATGAAGAGACAGACTCGACTGTGCGACTGAACAACAACAACCCATTAGCTGATTCAAACACGTCCATTATCCTGATGGGTAGCCGTGTTACGTCTGTCTATAGCAGTAGAAAACAGCAAAAGTCCAGTAGTGCCTTAAAGACTAACAACATTTGTGGCACGGGATGAGCTTTCGTGAGCTACTGCTCACCTCTTCAGATACAGCTAGACTCACAAAAGCTCCTACCCTGCCACAAATTTTGTTAGTCTTCAAGGTGCTACTGGACTCTCGCTCTTTTCTACCGTCCATTATCCTGACAGGGACAAATGACATGGGCAAGCAGGATGGGCTTGTCAGCGTGGTGGAAGCGCGTATAATAGTGCAATCCACAATAGGCTAGTGCTGAACTATATACAGTGGTTTTATTTACAATAATATACATACAGTCCAAGTTAGCACTTGTAGACTCCAGTTCTTCAGGCAGACTAACAAAGTGCCTTGCAAGGAATCCCATTCATAAGAGCGATGAATTACATACAGAGTGCACAGAATAGATACCATAAGGCACCAATCACATTGAAGTGCTGACTCACTGTGACTCTAGTGAGAATGATGCAACTTTGATCTAGTGACCTGTCACATGACACTACTTCTGTCACCTTCAGATCAAAAGGATCTAATTGACTCACATCACCTGGCTGTCATCTTGCCTGCAATACATAACAGTATGCTGACCGGGCTAGGTTACTCTGGGGCAAGTGATGCTCTGTCATCTTGGTGCTTGGGGGGGTCAACAGTGGGAGGGCTTCTAATGTCCTGGCCCCACTGGTGGACCTCCTGATGGCACCTGGTATTTCTGGCCACTGTGTGATACAGAGTGTTGGGCTGGATGGGCCTTTGGCCTGATCCAACATTGGCGTCTCTTATGTTCTTATATGGAGCAGAGGTCCATCAGTGGCTATTAGCCACAAGGTATAGATAGGGGCTCTGGGGCAAGTGATGCTCTGTCTTCTTGGTGCTTGGGGGGGGGGGGTCAGCAGTGGGAGGGCTTCTAATGTCCTGGCCCCACTGGTGGACCTCCTGATGGCACCTGGTATTTCTGGCCACTGTGTGATACAGAGTGTTGGACTGGATGGGCCTTTGGCCTGATCCAACATTGGCGTCTCTTATGTTCTTATGTTCTCCCCACCCCACTCCCAAGCTTCCTGGTCTAGAAGCACATGGTACTCAGAAGAGAAGGAGAGCAGGCTTGCCCCACAGAGTCGTGGATGCCCACAAAGGCACACGTACGCTCCAGTTGAGGTGGAGTGGCTTCAGAGGCTCCGCCAGGTTTCTCAGATCCCTTCCGGTGGTGGCAGAACTACCAGATAGTCTCTGGGTCCAACACGGTGTGGGGTGGTGAGCACACAGGGATCCAGACTCTCCCCCTTTCCCCTCCTCTTCCCTACTGCAGCGGGTCCTCCTCAGAACATGACTTCCGCTTGCTCTGAGAGCCAAGAGTAGATCGTTCTTCCCTGAATAAAATACATCCTTTTGACTAGATAGAGCCTGCAGGCAGCGGGCCTGGAACAAAGACTCAGTTCTTTGCTCACCTGCATGCAAGAAGCCAACACTGGAATAATGCCTTGGGGCAGGAGCTGCTTCTTCACGACCTTCGTCTCAACCGCCAAGTTCCCCAACGTGTACAAACACAGCTCCTGAAACACAAAGGGCCATAGCTCAATGACAGAGCGTCTGCTTTGCATGCAGAAGGTCCCAGGTTCAATCCCTGGCATCTCCGGCAGTGTTCCCTCTAAGCTGAGTTAGTGTGAGCTAGCTCACAGTTTTTTAGCCTCCGGCTCACACATTTTTGTCTCCGCTCAGGAAAGAGGGCTCCAGGGCAAGCTAATTTATGCAGTAGCCAAATCGCTCGCTCACAACTTTAATGCCAGTAGCTCACAAAGTAGAATTTTTGCTCACAAGACTCCACAGCTTAGAGGGAACATTGATCTCCGGTCAAAAAGAGCGGGTGACACAGAAGCTCTCTACCTGAGACCCTGGAGAGCCACCAGGGCCGGCTCACTCACTATGCAAACTAGGCGATTGTCTAGAGCGGGACGGCCCTTAGGGGCGCCAAACTGAACCCGGCCCCGTTCTCTGGAAGTGTCTTGATTATTTGTGTTTTTCATTCTTCCTAAAATGCATTTATTTTTGAAAATTGGTGGGTGCATGGGGGGGGGGGCGCCAGAAGGGATCCTCGCCTAGGGGGCGAAATAAGCTGGGGCCGGCCCTGAGAGCCACTGAGCGTCTGAGTAGACATGACAGCCCTTGACGGACCAAGGTTCTGATTCAGTGTAAGGCAGCCGTGAAGGGGAGAGGGTGCTCCGCATTCCCCACTATGGCACCCCTGCCTCTTGTGCAGCCCCTGTTACGACTACTTCGCCTTCTTCTCCTTCTTCTCCCGCCCTCCCTGCCAAGGCGGGCTCAGGGCGGCTTACAACATTCATAAAAACAGAAACTTAGGAAGGGCAACATTCCTGTAACATTGGATCAGATAGAAACTAAGCTGACCCATCATTTCCTGCTAAGCATTCCCAGCCTTTTTATTGTCAAACTTCTCTTCAGGGGTCAGGGCCTTCCGCAGCCCCAGCTCCCACCCCAGGACAGAAGGCGGGCCTGCTCTCAAGCCAGGCTTCCCAGGTGCTCCGCTCAGTACGGCTGGATTCCATCTGCCTTTCTTCACCATCAGTTCACTTCCTCACACCAGCGTTCAAACCACTCCCCCCTTCACACTTCCCCCTCCTACGTCCTGCAGTCCCCCCTGCTCCCCTCTGGGAGCATCTGGTTGTAGTATGAATGGGAATATAAAGGTTTTTATATATAGGTTTTTTTCTTCTTGATTGTTCATGTTCATATTTCTCTGGTTTTTATAGATTTGTTCTTTAAGTAATGTTTTATTAGGATGTTAGAAAGGCCTGTTATATAGAAGGCTTTCCTCTTGTAGGTCTGATATTGTTAGCAGACAACATAATCGGTACAAAGTTCATGATTCTGTAGTTCTTAGGGCAAACCTTTCAATGTCTGGGTCAGATAAGATTTTAGTCTGATATGAAGAATCCTTGCCCATTATCATTTAGGTTAGGTTAAGTAAACACTTAGTTTGACGTAGATATAGGTTTCTTTATATCTGGCCAATCAGAGGATTATTACTCAAATGACCGCTGTCTTTTGTAACCAATTATGCTGTTTGAATATTGTTTTCCTGATGATGTCAGTCCATGTATAAAATATCATGTATTTCCTGAATATGTTCAGAATATGCTCAAGAAAAAGAAGAAGATGAAGAAGAAAAAGAAGAAAGTTGTCAATTTTTGGTTAACTATTTGGTCTAATTGTTTTCCTATTAATTGAGGCATTTCTCCTGATTATGCTGAGAAGAAAGCAGTCAGTTTTGATGGGTCCTTTGGCCTAACTGTTTTCCGTATTCCATTGCGATAAAATACAAGAACTTCCTCCTCATTTGACTTCATTTTTGACATGGAATCTAATATGTACAACATGGTCAAACGTGGAAATGGACCTTGTGGTTGTTTTGCCATGTAAATACTGTGTATGTGTTTTGTTTCTGTGTCTTAACGTGGAGTTTAAACATTATGTTGCTGTGGTCTAAGATGTGGGCCTGTAGAGTAAGGAGGAGGGGAGCTGGGTGGGTGAGTGAAATGCAGGGGTCATTTCCTGCAGGAGTACACAGGAGCGGAGCTCCGGCAGTAAAGAGCCCAGGGGGCGGGCACATGCAACAAGCCCCAACCCCTGCTCCCAGCAGCCCTCAGTCAGAGCAAGAAGCAGCCAGGTAAGTTGCAGAGCTCCCCCCCCCGGCCCCCCGGTGCAAAACAGTCCAGTGGCACCTTTAAGACCCAGTTTTATTCAGGCACAAGCTCTCCCTCCTCTATGAGGGCAGATCTGCATGTCCCCCCCCCCATAGCTAGCAATCCACAACAGTCCAGTGGAGCCTGAGCGGTAGGTTACAGGGGGTGTAGCATATGCAAATAAGTTATGCTAATGAGTTATGCTAATGAGCTCCTGCACCTTTTTCTACGAAATGACCCCTGGTGAAATGTGTTAAGACTGGATGGTCGCTGTACCCTAGAGTGCGGAGCTGACTTGCTTTTTGTTCAGAGACAGGCTTTTGTGCGAGAGAGGGAGTGCTGAGCAGTGTGTGTGTCTGTGTATGAAGGAACTTGAGTGCGGCGCTATAGAATGCTGTGAGAGAAATCTGTGTGGAAGTTACTGGCCTAAGCAGCAAGTGAGAAAATAAGCTTGCACGGCTAGATCTATTTAAAGAACCGTTTCCCTAATGTGGCAACCTGAAACCATTATGCTTCTCAACCATACAGAAACCATGACGGTGTATTAGGTGTACGGGCTCTAATCTGGGAGACCCAGGTGTGATTCCCCAGTCCTCCACTTGCAGGTGCTGGATGACCTTGGGCAAGCCGTAGTTCTTTTCTGAGCTGTTCTCTCAAGGACAGTTCTGGAAAGAGCTCTCTCAGCCCCGCCTACCTCACAGGGTGTCTGTTGTGGGAAGGGGAAGGGAAGGGAGATTGTAAGCTGCTCTGAGACTCCGAGTGAAGGGCGGGGTATAAATCCAATCTCCTCCTCTTCGTGTTTAAGAAAAACAACTGTTTATTCTATAGGATCCCCTTTTACTTCAGAGCCACCCCCCTGCGCTGACTATTCTGTCATTCTACCATTCTAAGCCATCCTGTTCTTTGGGTCAAACAAAGACTTCTTTGGTGGCAGCGGAAATAAGGAAGGCAAGGAGGCCGCATAGCACACATCAACTCAGAACACTACAGAGAGGTGCCTTTACAGAGGTCATACAGGAAGGGTGTGTGTGTCTCACACAATAAAGAGCAAACACATTACAGACCCCCTTCTGGTAGATCTAGTCCTCTGAACTCAGACTACAGGCAAACTCTCAGTCACAGTGAACCTGAGAGCCCCAACAGAAGTCACCCTGTTCAAAACGGCGCATGCTGGGGGGAGGACCATTCCCACACCACGCCTCGGAAAGCAGACTCAAATGTCAACGACTGGCCGTGCTCAAAGCACTTGTCACTCAGCAGGAGCGAGGGCAGTTGCGAAGAGCAGGCCCGTGTCTTACCATGAGGGCTGTGCTGTGTCCAGAGAGGTAGGTCAGGAGGTAGGAGGTGGCTGGCAAACAGGCCTCCACAACCTCTGGGTCTTGGGCGTGCGACAATTCGTGCAAACACCGAGCTGCCTCCATCTGCAGATCCGCTAGATTGCTGGTGAAGAGGCCAATCAGCACCCGCATGCTGCCCTCCAGCCTGCAAAAGGGAAAACGGGGACGCCGTGTAACCACGTTCTGCATCGCCGTACTCTTTCTGCTCACCGGATCCAGCCACCCGGATGCCCCAGACACTGAACATCTCCATGAATCAGGAGCCCAAGAGAAATTTGCACTGAACGGAACTTAATAAACCAGAAGCTGTCGGTACTCATTTTTCCTCTTTGGGTTGAGAGAGAGGCTCTTCCGCTTTGCAAATCACTCGGAGAAATGAACCACACTCACTCACAACCATCTGCTACAAATCTGGCTATCAAGGAGATGTGGGCCTGTCACTACCTACTAGGGCTGTTCTTGCATTGGACAAAATATCCCAAAGAGGTTTCTTTTCCTTCGTTCAACCCAGGCGAACAACAGCCACTTGGTGAGGCACCACTAAGGCCCACTAGCCAACCTGATGAATGTCTGCTGGGTTTCTTTGTGCTGTAGCCCCCATCGAAGGCGACGCAAGGATTTTATCCTCTCTTCCGTTCCCTTGTGGGCGTTGCTCAGAAGCTCTGCAACCTGCCAGGGAACAATAGTGAGTCAATGGCAGGGCAGAAGTAGGGCCCATATTTTGAGACAGAACTATCCAGGATGGTGGGAACAGACACTCCTGCAAAGCCAGGAGACAGTCTGAATGGACCTGGTATACTTCAATCTTTGAAACTACACAGAAGAAGAAAAGAAGAGATTGGATTTATACCCCGCCCTTCACTACCCAAAGGAGTCTCAGAGCAGCTTATAAACTCCTTTCCCTTCCCCTCCCCACAACAGACACCCTGTGAGGTCGGTGGGGCTGGCAGAACTCTGACAGAAACTGCTCTTTTTCAAGAACACCTCTGACAGAACTACGGCTTGCCCAAGGTCATCCAGCAGGTGCAAGTGCCGAGTGAGGAATCAAACCTGATCCTTCCAGATTAGAGTCCATGCACTTAACCACTACACCAAACTGGGCTGGATTGGGTTAATTGGGATGGATCCTGTCCAGCTTTCCTGCAGCAGAAGGGGCTTCTCTTGGGGCGGGGGGGGGGACAGGTTCCTTGTGCCACAGGAAAGCACCACCATTTGTGGAATGGATCTGTGGGATCCAACTCGCTATCTGGAGGGGAACCCCACTGCACATCACTCTGAGCGCTTAAAGATGTTCAAAGTTTTTAACTGAGTAGCCAAATATAATAAAACGAAAATGCAGATTTTCCTTAGGACAAAAATTGGACTTTAATTTGTTCCATACAGATCACACACTTTCTTGGCTACATGGTACTTAAATCTGCTGTAGGAGGAGAAAAACTGAACACATCAGGATCTAATGAGCTGGCAATGTTTATTTTCTTCATTCATTACCCTGCCTTCCTCCCCAATGGGGACCCAAAGTGGCTTACATAATTCCCCATTTTACCCTACAACAACCCTGTGAGGTAGGTTAGGATGAATGCATGTGACTGGCTCCAGATCAGCCAATAAGCTTCCATGGCAGAGTACGGATTTGTACCTGGGTCTTGCAGATCCCAGTCCAACACTTGATTACACCACATTGACCCTCTTTCATTAACATTTTGAAAGGAAGAAGAGGATATTCACATGAGTATCTCTCTGCAGTTTGGGCAACATATAATCACAGCTAACTATAAACATGAAGTGCCCATTATTCCTAAGTAAACCAAAGAACAGTTGGGCTTCAATGCACTGCAGTGAACCCTGATTAAGCCCCAAACTTCCTACCTCTTGCTCAGAGACTGGAGCTGTTGTACCACTGTCTGTTCCAACGCATACGTCCTCTATCAACTCATCTTCCCGTAACAGCCGCTTACTGACCAACTGCTGCAGCCTCCGGGCACTCCTCAAGGCTGTACCAAAGCAGCAGCCAATTGTCGGAGAAGGTCAAGTCCAAGGAAGAGAGCAGAGAAGTAAAAAGAGCCTTTTAATGTGATTATGAAGTTCCCACACAGAGCAAAAGATAGGCACGTCAATCCAGCTCTATAAAGCTATAATTAGCAAGGGCATGAGGAAGGTCTGAATGCAGAAGATACTCCAAGGCAAAGTGAAAACAAAGTGAAGTGAAAATGGCAGGTACCTACCTGCCATTTTTCGTCTCACCTTGACACAGAGAGTACTCCATCTTTCTGTGTTATTACCTCTGAGGATGCCAGTCACAGCTACTGGCAAAATGTCAGGTTCTACAATGCCAAGACCACGGCCACACAACCCGGAAAATCTACAGCAACTCATGAAAACAGATTATCGGGGAAGTAATGAGTAAACCTCACAACCCTTTGTCGCTCCAGCAATCTGCTGCCCATCCAAGAACAGAGGTTAGATGATCTACAGGTGATCACATGAATGTGTGAGGAAGCAATATCCCTGAAAACAACATAGACTCCACAATACGATCCAAGTACGGTTCTCTACGCCAAAGGGAACGGCTGCCCTTCTACAGGCTTGTCTAAATACAGCCAGACCACAGATGGTGTAGGCTAAAACTAGACACATGATCAGTGACTTCTCGGCCTTTTGGCTAAGATCAAGTGCAGTGTGTAGGACTTTAGGCGGGCTTGTAGCTCATAAAGTACATCGAAATTGCTTATTTTCATTACAAAAATGCTGTGGAGTGGATGGGGGACCAGAGAGGAAATCAGGTTGAAGCTGTTTGGTAGTGATGAACATAATGGAAGGTTGGGGAGGAGGGGGGAAAGGAAAATTGGGAAAGGGCTGGTGGCGGAGGAGGGAGAGGAGGAGAAGCAAGAGAGAAGGGAAACTCCCTCCATCCAGAGTATGGGACTGCTTTGCTCAAAGAACTGAGTGGCCGGCAGCTGGAACCATTGTGAGGCCGAGGGCGGAAGAGGACCCTCGTGACAAAGGACAGGTAGTTGGGAGCTCTGGGCAGGCTGGTGAGGCAGATGAAGCTGAACCAACCAAATTATAGAACCAAAGTTTGAGTCCAGCGGCTCCTTTAAGACCAGCAAAGTTTAATTCTGGGTATAAGCTTTTGTATGCATGCACACTTCTTCAGATACAGACATGCAAAAACTTATACCCAGAATTAAACTTTGTTGGTCTTAAAGGTGTCACAGGACTCAAACTTTGTTCTGTTGCTTCAGACCAACACGGCTACCCACCTGAATCAACCTAATTATAAACAGCTATAAAGGTTTCCTTTTCATTTTTCAGAACAGGGGTTAATTATAGATTTAAACTGGGAAAGGGCTGCTAAGATTACTGTGCTGAACCAAGCATGTTGTAGGGCCAAACTTAAATATTACTGGTTTTGTTCCCCAAAGCAGCTGCAGTGAACGGCTTCCAGAAAAAAAGAGAAGAAGAAGAGATTGGATTTATAACCCGCCCTTCACTTGGAGTCTCAGAGCGGCTGACAAACTCCTTTCCCTTCCCCTCCCCTCCCCTCAACAGACACCCTGTGAGGTGGGTGGGGCTGAGAGAGCTCTGACACAAACTGCTCTTTCAGGAACAGCTGTGCCAGAGCTTGTGACTGACCCAAGGTCACATCAGCAGGTGCAAGTGGAGGAGTGGGGAATCAAACCCGGTTCTCCCAGATTAGAGTCCGCGCACTTAACCACTACACCAAACTGGCTCTCAACAAAGTGACATTTATGTCAGAGACCTAATGAACTCAGAACGGCACCTCTGTGGAACAACAACATCAGAGGAATAACTCCCCTCCCCAGCATAATTTTTGTGCGGGAAAACAGCTTGCAAAGGGAGGCAAGAGCCCTTCCTTCCCCCCATGCCTCTGTTTCAAGCACATTTGGGTTCTACTTTTTTTTTAAACCATTCCTACAGCTGCTGTTTCCTGCCAACCTAGCAGTTCGAAAGCAAGAAATTGCAAGTAGATAAATAGGGACCACTTTGGTGGGAAGGTAACAGCGTTCCGTGCGCCTTGGTGTTTAGTCATGCCGGCCACATGACCACGGAAACGTCTTCGGACAGCGCTGGCTCTTCGGCTTTGAAACGGAGATGAGCACCGCACCCCTAGAGTCGGACTCGACTGGCTTTCGAGCAAGGGAACCTTTACCTTTACCTTTACAGCTGCTGTTGCTGTGGGGAGCACGAGGTCCCCTGGACCCAATTCTTTAAAAACAGTAATGTTCTGTTTGGCGCATAGTTGTTGTTGTTCAGTCGCACAGTCGAGTCCGACTCTTCGCGACCCCATGGACCAGATCACGCCAGGCCTTCCTGTCTAGACAGCTATAAAGAAAATTTCAGATGAATAGACACAGTGGCAAGGCAGATAGGAAAGGCAAGGTGGGCACTGGGTTATTATAGCTATCGCGGAAGGGGTTTAAGAGCTGTTTCAGCTGAGGACAGTCTTCCAGTGCAGGATAGTATTTCTCATTTCACCTGGGAAACCTATATTATAGAGTTTATTCGGTACTCAGAGTTCTAATAAACAGATCTGCCTTTCAAACCCTCTTTAATAGACTAGGGGAAATTAAATGCTAAAAGAAAGCAAAGAACTGCAAAATAGATTAATTCTAGGCATCAGTCGCCAGAGATTGTGAAGGTTTAATAGTTAAACCTTAATTAAACTTAATTAAACCACTTACAGTTCTTTAATCCAAAATTCTTTCATCCATTCTCATTTCAGAGCAATGCTCTGAATGCTGTTCACCTTCTCACTGTTTTGGTCTGCTCAAGAGAGTCAGGACCTGGAAAACAGTCGAACTCATTTGTTATGAGGGCCAGATCTGACATAAATGTCACTTTGTTGGGCCAGGCCATATGTGCCATAAAACGAAATGCTAGGTACCGGGGATATAAACTATATAAAGGACAGAAGCTGGTAAGTTCCGAGTTGGTGTATCCTCACTGCAAGGCCCCATGGGAAGCCAGCAGTGCAGCACTGGGCAGACACTCCCACGCTGTTTGACTTCTACGGACAAGGTTGTTCTGCCATGCTTTTTATTTATTATTTATTACTTTCCGTTTATATCCCACCTATGCCGGGGCAAACTGGCTCAAGGTGGCATACACAGGTAAAATGCGATAAAACAATAAATACAATAAAATTCACATAAACAACCATTTACATAAAGTGCTAATAATACTGATAGCGGTGGTTACTATACATGGTCCGATGAAAAAAGGCAATATCCAACTATGAACCACAGGGCTGTAGTATATTCAATTTCCAATGTCTCATTCATCAGTGGCGGCTCCTATTCGAAGGCCTGGTGGAAGAGCTCCGTTTTACAGGCCGTGCGGAACTGTAAAAGGTCCCGCAGCGCCCTGATGTCCTCCGGGAGCTCATTCCACCAGTGTGGAGCCGCCACTGAAAAGGCCCTGGTTCTCGTGAGGGCCAGTCTGGCATCTTTCGGGCCAGGGAGAGTCAGGTGATTTTGCGACCCTGACTTCAGTGCTCTCTGGGGCACGTATGGGGAAAGGCGGTCCCTACTAGGGCTGCCAAGTCCCCCCGGGGACCGGAAATCCCCCCGCCCCAGAGGCCCGTTCCCCGACGCTGGGGAATCGGGCCCTTGGGGGGAACCCCGCCCCAGCGTGCACGTCACAGGGAAGTGACGTTATGACGCCGGGCACGCTGGGGGCGGGGCCACGGCCATACAAGGGGAAACTCTATGGTATCCCTTGTATGGTCGTGGCCCCGCCCCCAGCCTACCCGGCATCATGGCGTCACTTCCCTGTGACGTGCATGCGGCGCGCGCACGCGACAAGGATACGATGGGGAGTCCCCCGCCAGCAGGGTAAGTGCCACTTGGCAACCCTAGTCCCTACCTACAATTGGGAGTGGCTCAGCCCACCCCCCACAACAGTCTCTTCTTCCCTCCCTTGCACTAGTTGCTTGTGGCCTGCATAAGAGCCCTGGACGGGCCTGTTCCGGCCCCCGGGCCTTACGCTTGACACCCGTGTGTTAGAGGTGCTTAAATGAGACAGAGGCATAAATGGCCACACACGACCAAAAGTACCTGGGCTCAGCAACACCATCTAACAACCCATCCATCCTAGCAGGCTTACTTAATCCTGCAAACCACTTTTTCCAGAATTCACCCACAAGGGTTACAAATACTGAAGAGCAGTCCATGTGAAGTAGTTGAGATTTTAAACTAACCTCAGGCTGTATGAGGACCAGTGTTCCCTCTAAGCTGAGCTAGTGTGAGCTAGCTCACAGGTTTTTTAGCCTCCGACTCATATATTTTTGTCTTAGCTGAGGAAGGATGGCTCCAGAGCAAGCTAATGTATGCAGCAACCAAATTGCTCGCTCACAATTTTAATGCCAGGAACTCACCAAGTAGGATTTTTCAGGGCTATTTTTGGGCAGGAACGCACAGGAACAGCGTTCCGGCTGGCTCCCAAGTTGGCCACACCCAGCAGGAACTCATTAGCATAACAGGCCACAACAAGCAGTAGAAACTAATTAGAATTGGCTACCTTAGGGGGGGGGGTGGCCTAACATGCAAAGGAGTTCCTGCTACAAAAAAAGCCTGGGTAAACAGAATAAGAAGCAAAAGGTGGGTGTGGCTGGATGACCACACTTCTGGAAACATGGGAAGGCGGCCTAATATGCCAATGAGCAGGGGCGGATTTAGACTTGCAGAGGCCCTAAGCTATACAAAACCCAGAGGCCCCCTACTGCTTTAAATTACATCAGCTGGTCTCAGAAAAATTTAAAATATATACGCCTTTTTAATATTTGAAATCATTTTTTTATATTGTGGTTTTTATTTGAGGGCCCCAGCAGACTGCGAGGCCCTAAGCTGTAGCTTATTTAGCTTATGCAGAAATCCGGCACTGCTAATGAGCGGTGCAATCAGGGGTGTGGCCTAATAGGCTAATGAGTTTCTGCTGCTGGGTGTGGCCTATTATGCTAATGAGTTCCTGCTGTACCTTTTCTACCAAAAAAGCCCTGGGATTTTTGCTCACAAGACTCCAGAGCTCAGAGGGAGCATTGCGGAAGCCCCAGGCCAGGTAGTCCCGGGGTGGCAGCAAAACAAAGCCTCATCTATCTCTCTCTCTCCCTCGCCACAATCAGACCCAGGAACGTCACAGCCCGAACGGCCCCAGAAGACTACCCCGTCCAGTGTTTCCTCTAAGCTGAGTTAGTGTGAGCTAGCTCACAGTTTTTTAGCCTCCAGCTCACACATTTTTTTTAGGAGCTGCGGTGGCTCAAGTGGTTAAGACGCTGAACTGCAGGCTGTGGAAGGTCAGTAGTTCAGTGGTTCAAGACCCGGGTGCCGCAAGACAGGGTGAGCTCCTGTCTCTAGTTCCAGTTCCTGCCAACCTAGCAGTTCGAAAGCAAGAAATTGCAAGTAGATAAATAGGTACCCCTTCGGTGGGAAGGGAACAGCATTCCGTGTGCCTTGGTGTTTAGTCATGCCGGCCACATGACCACGGAAACGTCTTCGGACAGCGCTGGCTCTTCGGCTTGGAAACGGAGATGAGCACCGCAACCCTAGAGTCGGACTCGACTGGCTTTCGAGCAGGTGAACCTTTACCTTTTACACACATTTTTGTCCACGTTCAGGAAGGAGGGCTCCAGAGCAAACTAATTGATGCAGCAGCCAAATCGCTCGCTCACATCTTTAATGCCGGTTGCTCACAAAGTAGAATTTTTGCTCACAAGAATCCACAGCTTAGAGGGAGCATTGCTCAGGGGCAGTGTTCCCTCTAAGCTGAGTGTGAGCCAGCTCACAGTTTTTTAGCCTCTGGCTCACACATTTTTGCCTTCGCTCAGGAAGGGAGGGCTCCGGAGCAAACTAACTGATGCAGCAGCCAAATCACTCGCGCACAACTTCAATGCCGGCAGCTCACAAAGTAGAATTTTTGCTCACGAGACTTGCCCCTCTCCTCATGCAGCCGCGCCCTGCTGCTGGGGCAGACCCCCACGCGAGGCCCCGCTGCTTGGGAAGAGGCCGCCGCCGCCGCCACTGACCCGCTTCGCGCTCCCTCCGCCGGGCTCGCAGCTCCTCCACGGTGCAGCCCCTTCCCCAGCGCCTTCTGCCCGCCAGGCCGGAGGAAGCGGCGGAGGCCGGCGAAAGCATGGCTGCCGCGGCCAGGGGGACCCCGTCTCCGCCGAGGGGAGGCCGGCTTCTTCGCTCGTGTTCAGGCCCCGCGGCGTTCGCACGCTCGTGACTTGCGCCGCCCCCCAGCCCGGGCCCGACAAGCGCCTCCGGCGGAGGAGAGGGAAAGCGAGGGCCGGAGGCCGCGAGAGAGGCCTTCCTCCCGGCCCGGCCTGGCCTGGCCTTGGCAGCGCGGCGCGGTTGCTAGGAGACCCGCCCGAGGAAGGGGAGGAGAAGGCCGGGCCCAGGGGCCTGGCTTCTACCACGGTGGCCAACTCCGGCTCAGGGAATTCCTGGAGATTGGCGGGTGGAGCAATAATTGGCACAGTTGTGGTGCCTTTGAGAACTGTGAATGGGGGAGGACTTGCCACCGATGCTCCCTCTAAGCTGTGGGGTCTTGTGAGCAAAAAATCAACTTTGTGAGCTCCTGGCATTAAGGTTGTGAGTGAGCGATTTGGCTGCTGCATCAATCAGTTTGCTCTGGAGCAGTGTTCCCTCTAAGCTGAGTGAGTGTGAGCTAGCTCACAGGTTTTTAGCCTCTGGCTCACACATTTTTTGTCTCAGCTCAGGAAAGATGGCTCCAGAGCAAACTAATTTTTGCAGTAGCCAAATTGCTTGCTCACAACTTTAATGCCAGCAGCTCACAAAGTAGAATTTTTGCTCACAAGACTCCACA